AGCAAATTGAAAAGTGCACTTCAAGCACCGTCTGTCCTGCGACTTAAGGTCTCATCACATTGCAAGCACCTTCGTGCGTGTGCATTACATCTGTCTTGTGCTTGTATGGGCCTTCTCTCTTCTTTTGTTTTTAGAAAACAATAAATATTTTATATTCATTTACACTCCTCCATTCTTTAATATAGGACTAAAACCCACTACTTCTCTTTCTACAATAATACTGTTTTTGTGTAAATCTTATTATAACTATATATAATTGCATTTTATAAAAATTATGATTTGAAAAGATATTATTTTAAAGTAACTTCTAGTTCAAAGCAAGAATACAACTAGCACCTTGGTCCTTCGTTCTCTCACTCTTTGGAATAGAATGGGTGCTTCCCAACTCAGTTGAACACCTCCTTTTGCATTGATCATTCTTTGCCTAATCCAGGTTATATGTTGTAGAGACCCTCCCCACCATTGTTCGTAAACTTGCCCGATTTAATCACTAATTGCCCAGTTCGATCGGAAACGGCTAGTGGCCAGTTTCGGTTTTGGACGGTTAGGGTGATCAACCAGTATTTAAAAAAAAAAAATTCAAAAATATATATATAAATTCTTAAAAATAAAGAACTTGATTTGTAATGCAGTTTTAAATATTATTTACATTATAGTAAAGATTAAAAATTGTTTTGGTCATTAATATTTTCTTATCTTTTTTAGAAAATTTTAAAAATAGTCATTGGAAAATATAAAATGGGTTAAAGTCCATTTTTTTTATTAATTTTTAACTTCATTTGAATGTGTTTTGTTTTAATCAGTCTTTATATGTTTTTTATATTTTAGTAATTGTTTTTTGTATTTTTTATATTTTTTTCAACAATTTTTTGACCGCCTGGGACTTGCCCTGTTAGAGCGGTTGAATCGGCCGGTTTACCGATTAGGCTGGTTAAACCGTTTCCAGGCCCATGTCCGGTTAACCATTTCAGTTTGTTTTTGCGAACACTGCTCCCCACTTATGGCCATTTGGTTGTTCTAGCTTGAGCAAAATATGTAATATTTAGTGGTAAATGTTGTGGTTTGGAGCAACTTAAGAACAAAATCAAAAGCCTAACCATAGCATGGGCCTTATCAACGAAAGAATTATGTGACTACTCGCCAATGATTTCCTTTAAAACTTGTCAAAGATATCATTCTCAGGATGACCAATGAGCCGGGGCCGAACTTGAGGGGTTCCTCTTCCTAGTGATATGTTAATGCTTAATTTTGATGACAATTCTACTGGTAAAGTTGGTTCATGAAGATCGAAGGCTCTTCAGGAACTATATTTGGAGTGGTATCCTGAAATACTTAGGCGGTTGCAGAAATGTAATAGTAGTGAGGTAGAGACACAATCACCACCACAAGGTCTAAGGATTTTGCATGAGAACTGTCCCCCGTTGAAAACGATTTTAGTAGTATCATCTCATGGCTATGGTAGTTAGGCATTACCTTTGAGTTGTCAATGATGTATATCAAGTGATTATTGAAGAGTTGAAATGAGAGTCTTAAGAAGAAAGTAGGAAAATTCAAATATAAGGTGTCAACTTTCTACAATAGAAGTGAGACATCAGAAAAAGGTTGTTATAATGCTAGAAAACACTCCAATTGATCATCGCAACCTCAAGATATACGGATATGAGGAAAAAATAATTTTTAATCTAAAAAATAGTGCATTTTGTTATGCATTATTTGAATAATCCATTTTAAAGATTTTCAAGTATTTGAAAAATTACTGGATCCGTACAATCTTTGGAGCTTTAAATGTCATAATTAGGAGTAGAAACATATATTTAGCCATTGTAAGATTCTTGGACACTGGATTTGCTTCTTGCCGCATGATTTGGCAGTGCCCCTTTGATGGTTTAAGGTGGGCACTTTAAATAAAATACATTTTAAAAAAATAACAAAATGGACCATTTTTAATGCACAAAATATAATTTTTTTAAAGCTCCATAACTGAGGAGGTAGAGATGAAAAAGATGTAGAACTCTGCATTGTCAATCCATATCTAAGATGGATTTTAGAAGATTAAAGTTTTAGATCTTTAAAAACGAACCTTAACCTTTTTTTTCTGTTTTTTTTTTTTCTAACAAATCACATACATATATTATTGAAAGAATTAATTACTTGTCTCATTTGCTCAAAATTACAAGCACCGACCTTTATGAAAACACCAGCACGGCCTTATTCCTAAGTTAGCTACTTTTTGTTGTTCGTTGTTAAAGTACTTTGACAGTTAATTGAAGGAATTGGTCTTGAGTAGAGGGGATTTCACCGGGAGGCTGAGCAGAGCTCCCTGGTACTATGGGCCCTATTCGACTGCTTGGAGGCCGGCATGGGGAGAGCTTGCAAAGAGAGAGAAAGAGTCGTGCGGGTGGGGATAACCAGTAGAATTGCAGAAGCTGTACAATATAGAGAGAGAAAAGAAGAGAGATCTATCAGGAGAGAAGCGATATAGAGAGTAGGGTTGTCGGCTTGGGCCTGACCCGTTATGCAGTGAGCCAGGCCGGCATTTTGCTTTGGAATTATAATTAAAATAGCATTTAGTCGCTCATGTAGGCCGGGCCGGGTTCTTGACATTGGCTTGGAAGGATCAGAATCTCCTCATGGTTTTGGCGTGGCGTTGAATTTTTTAGAGAGAGAGCAAATATATGGCATACTTTGCTGATTTTTCAGAGATAGAAAGCTATGGCTTAAAGTTTATTGTTTTTGGAGAGAAGCTTAGTTTTGGAAAGATGATATTGGGTAGATGGACACACCTTTTAGAGAGAGAAAGAAGGGCATAAGTCGTGTCTTGGGTAAGTTATGAATTGTACAATAGTTTTTTTTTTTGTAAGGGTTTTTTTGGTATAAATATTTGATGGTTAAGAGAGGAATGTGATGGGAGGAGTTTTGGAGTTTTATTTTTTTTTGGGGGATAGATGGATATTTTAGGAAATCTGAGTATAGAATTAGGAGTTTCCATGGCTTCCAAGATAGCTTGATTTGCAGTGAAATAAGTAATGTCAGAGAAACGCTAAGCATTGTAACAAAGGGTGGCTGCAGCGTGGCTAGGATCAACTGCCTGAATTTGGTGAACATCGCCAAAGCTCCTCTAGAGGCCAAGATCAGAGTTGACAATCCGTGCTACATCCAAAAGCAATAGGAGCAGCAGTGGCGGTGGCGGATCCCTGTTCCCAAGTGGCAGCGGTGGCGGCATATAGTGGATTCTGGCACTCAGCTGATGGTACGCTTGCATTAGCGAGAGAGACTATGGTGATCGATTGGAGATGAGAGAGCCCATAACCACGAAACGTACGTTTATATGGCTTTTAGAATTTCAAATAGTTGTAAGGTATTTGGAACACTTGGACAACAAAGATAACCTAGAAAAAAAAAAAAGAAAAAAAAATCATGTCCAGTGATTTCATTGACGTAATATTTTCATGGTTGAACAGAGAGACAACTTAAGAGAGAAAAAAAAAAAAGACATCATAGAGGTAGGGGAATGGTGCTTGTAAGTTCAAACAAATGAGATACTAAATGGTAATTGACCAACCCCAATAGTGTCCGTATATAATTTCTTGTTTTTTTGGGTGATATGTTAATGGTAGATAAAACGTTATGTTGGGACATCAGCCCCCCTAACCATCAATCCCTCAATCCCATTTCAACCAATACTAACCTGACCCTTGACAAAATGCGAAGTTCTGCCTGTGTCTGATTGCTCATGCACCTACAGTAGTTTTCAAGGATTTAAGACCCAAAATATGTTTTAAAACACTGTTAGCTTCAGATCCACGCATTTGGGGCTCACTGTCGATCTAATAATCCTTGTAGAGTTAAAATAAACAGACAAAAAAAGAAAAGAAAAAGATGAACTATTTATAGAGCACAAATTTTATTATTGTCTTTTAGATTTCAAATTGGGTGGTGGTAAGAGTGTTTATAAAATGACTCTTCAAATTGGGTGGTTGTAAGAGTGTTAATGAAAAAACTCAAAGTTAAAGAAAGATAAAAACCTCGTAACTATCCAAAGCTATACAATTTGATATTTAATGAGCAGCAGTGATTGTGACCTTTTTGTAATAAAGATAAATGGTCTCATTATTATAAAGAGGTTACAATCACTCTTACTCATTATATGTCAAATTGGATGACTTAAGCTATAACAAAGTTTGAAAAATTCAATTTTTGAGCTTTGAGTTTATTTAATGACGCTCTTATGACCACCCAATTTGAAATCCAAGGGACAAGAGTGATTGTAACCTAAAGTAAATAGTCTTTTGAGTATACCTTTTTTTAAAGATATGCAATCTTTTTTTACTTTTACTTTTGGAAAAAGTTTATATAAATATGAGGCCGTAAACAATCAAATTAGAGCCCACCTCAAAAATTTCATTAAAAGAGGTTGTTTTGATGTTCAAATATCCTCAAATTGATCGTCTCGACATCAAGATACATAAACATGAGAGAAAAAATGGATTCCAAGTTTTGCAAATTATCTATCTTGTAACGCATTTTTGGATTGTCAATTTTTCAAGATTTTCATCGATCTACACTATTTTTGAAGCTTTAAATTTTATAATTCAAAATAAAAATACATTTAAGGCTATCACAAAGATTTAAAGTATTGAAACTATATTTCTCGATACTATTTGAAGGCGAGTCTATACAAACCATACATTTTTACTTTAATTTCTTTAAATAGATAGTGGTAGTCTAGAATAGATGTGTCCCAAGACGCATTTGTGTCCAGAAGTGGAGCTTGTTCAATGAGAAATAATCGTATAAGATCTTTTTTCATTCATATGTGTAGGATCTCAAAGGATCACTATTAAATTTGACACCACTCTCTAAAAAAAAAAAGTTATAATAAGTATGTGAAACTTAGATTTTTTTTTTTTCTTAACCCGTGCCAAATTTAATGGTTAAAAGTATACGAGGGGAGGGTCCTACGGGTTTCAATATGCTAATGGGGAGGGTCCTACGGGTTTCAATATGCTAATGAGAAAATAGAGTATACACGTCATGTATATTTGCAGTATCCGTTCTCCACCTTCCACAGGTGAGGACTTAATTCTATTCTCTGCTCATAAGGTGTATCCAATGGACGAGCTAGTTGCTAGCACCCTAGCATGCTGTTTTTTCCCACTGATTTATAGGGAGCAGTTCAGTCCTGCAGTGGCGATTCTTCCCGTGAAATGCTTTTGATTCTTCTTCTCTCTAGTTGCCCACTATTTGAATTTCTCACTCTAAAATCTCATAGATTATTTTTTGATCCATAAAAATCTCATAGATTTTAACTATTTTCTCTCTCTTCTGGTTCTCGGCATGGACCCGCCTGCAAGAACCGTGCTCAATAGACTCACTTCTCGCCCTCTAATCCTTCACAAACCAAACCCCCATTTTCGCGCTAGATTGTGTCCCCCCGATAGTCCCAACCCTTCGTTAAAACCCAGAAGCCTAGCCCTAATCTCCTCCCATTTCCATAGAATAACCTCGAGTTCATGTACTGGAGCTTCTGCAACTGATTCATTATTTCACAGTAATGGTTCGATGTCTCTACTCAATCTAATCCCTAGGGATTATTTTCTCTCTTCCATGGTTTCTTCCTTCTTATCTCATTCGTATTCAGGGAGCAGCAGCCTCGGTCTCTCTTCTTTGAGTATGGATGAAAGGAGGTATCATAAATGGCATTGGAGAGATAGTGATGGCTTTGAAACAGGGGTTTCTAGTGATAAGAGGCCTGTAATGGGGGTGGTTTTACTGGGTTGGCTTGGTGCCCAACAGAAGCATTTAAAGAAATATGCAGACTGGTACTTGTCGAGGGGAATTCGAGCTATTACCTTTGTTGTTCCTGTGAAAGATGTATTCAGGCTTAAGCTAGGGCTAGGGTTTGGGGTCGAAGACTTGATTAGAGACCTAACTCAGGAGCTTGTGAGCTGGTTATCTGTGAAGGAGGTTGATGGAAGGGAGAGGTGCTTGCTTTTCCACACTTTCAGCAATGCTGGGTGGCTTACGTATGTACCCTTTTACATTCCAATTCATTCATTACCTTCTTCTATTTTATACGTGTTTTACGATATTGCTTGCAGTTCTGTTTGCCAATTCCTAAGTATGATCATGGGGCGGTGCTTCTCAAAATCTCCATTTTTTAGGCAATTTTATATGCTCAATTTGTTGCATTAATGATCAGTATTCATGGAGAGGTTATAGGCATTATTGGATTTAACCATTGGGCTATGATGTGTTTCCCCATTTGCTTCAATTTTCTTTTCTTCAGTGAAATTCATTTGATTAAGTTGATGACTTAAACACTTTATACCACACAAAAGACACAGGAAATAGTATTAATAAATGAATGATGTAATATGTGGTATGCTCGTACAAACATTCAATAATTAACAATATTATGATGTGCTTTTCCGACATCTGGAACCGTTCTTATTGTCCATTCTGGTATGGAAATTCTTTGAGTGTATGAATATGGTGAAAACTGAGGAATTCATGAAAGAAGTGAGTGATTGGATACTTCTGTTCTTAATTGAATATCATAATTGTAATCCAACGAGTATTGGGTAAGCGATTTTTTATTCACCTCTCCTTTTGGCTCTTTTTTGTTTCATTTCTCATGTTTGAGATATCATACTTCTGAGCTATTTCCTGCTACTTATGGGTACCATGACTGCTTAAACTGTTACCTACCAAAAATCTGAGTTCTGCTAGAAATTCGTTTCTGCCCCATTTTTGTGAGGAACATCTTTTTTGTCCCATGCATTCTTTTCTATTGTATGCACCAATATTTCCCTTTCACCATTTCTGAAATGTTATTTTTCTTCAAACAAATTTGTGGTGTGCGATGGCTTTGATCTCCCAAAACCTATTTCCTCCCCCCCCTCCCCAAAAAAAAAATAAAAAATTGTTTCTCCTTTATTGTGTGAACTTGAATGGCATGCAGCCTCAACATTCAAACAAATCTGCGTCTTCTGCACTCCTCTGACAATTTTATCTTGTTCCCTCTTCCATTGTGAGAAACCCATGTAGCATTCAATCATAACTCTTGGGCTCCGCTCGATTTCCTGATTGGGTACAAGAAACACAGATGGCATTAGTTTCATGGCTACGGAAAATTACACGTGAGAAAGACCTATGTTATTTTCTTTTTCTTTTTTAACAGTATAAAAAAAGGTGTTAAATAGAGTAAAAAATGCCTCGCCTATCAGGTATTGCATCGGCATTATTATACTACATGCCTGGCCTATCAGGTATTGCAATGGCATTATTATACTACTTCTATAGTTAACACGGTTTTTGGAAGTTCCATACTTCTTGCTTATCCATTTAAGTTGCATTATAGTGTTCTGATTCTATCTCTCTCATGGTTTATGTAGTTACGGTGTCATACTTGAGAACTTGCTAATGAGAGAAGGCCTGATTGAGAAGATCAAAGGATGTGTAGTTGACTCTGGACCAGAGCCAAAACTAAATCCGCAGGTTGTAAATAAAAAAATACAGTAGTTTCAAACCCTTGTGTTGTAATTCCATTAATTTTTCGCCATACACATGCTGAAGGTGTAGTTTTTATCTTGACTTTCCAATTTCAATTGCATATATGATGCAAACTTGAGTTCTTGCTGACATATCTTGAGGATGGTCAACAGGTTTGGGCTGCAGGGTTTGGGACGGCATTGCTTAAGAAACAGAGTAACCTGACACGCTCTGCAGCTGAGTCCAATGAGTCTGATGAAAACAAGCCTCCATTGAAGGAAACCATGGTCATGGGGATTCTTGAGAAGATTTTCTCAGTTGTCTTGAAGCTACCGCCTGTAAATCAGTGAGTTTTTGTGCTCCCTATTTATTCAATCATTGCTATTTTATGAGTCACACTCTGGTGTTTCCGTGTTTGAATCCTATTTTTTTTCCTTCTAATTAACTATCAAGTCCTCCGTACCTTGCTGTTATCCCCATGCACTCCAACTAGGTGGTTCCCTTTTTCTGATACTCATTATTTTAAAAAATGATCGATAGTAACCTCGTCCGTATTTTTTCATTATTAACAATATAAAAAACCTATTTTATATTGTCCTTGGGTCGAAAGTGGTTAAAGTAGTGAATCGTAACCTTTTCAAAAATTTATATTTGAAAATTTTATGGGTTTTGATAGGTATTAAATAATATAACTTTGAATTTGATTAATAATGAGTGGTGTAAGTATATAATATTTTTTAAAAGAAGGTTCATGTACCACAATATTTCTTTCTGTAAATTCATGGTGTTTGAGTTGCTTTTAAATCATGGGTGCTGTGAAATCGCAATAAATATTTCTTTCTGTAAATTCATGGAGTTTGAGTAGCTTTTAAATTGTGGGTTCTGCAAAATTGCAATAAATAAATATCTTTTGACAAATGTTTCTGGAGCTGCATGTTTTTGGTGTTCTAAGTGGTCCATGGTGTTAAATGTTGAACAATGTTATTCCTATGTGGGTTGCTTTGCTTCCATCCTTTGAAAAGCAGGTTACTTTTTCTGAGTCTTAGTTTCAAACACAGTTTAAAAGAATGGATCGGTGACCCGGATCGGCCACCTTATAAACCATGTCGGATTCGTGGATCGGTAATCCGGCTCGGAAAAACGGCCGGATCGGCGAGTTTCGGCCTCAAACAAATTTCAAAAAGGGATTGTTTACAAAGAGACCTTTTAACCTGGAGGTCACAATCACTCTAGTCCCTTAAATTTCAAAATGGGTGGTTGTAAGAGTGTCATTGAATAAACACAAAGTTCAAAAATAAAATTCTTGGACTTTGTTACTCACCCCAAACCATCCAATTTGACATCTAATGAGTCGGAATGATGGTGACCTCCATGTACAAAAGATAAATGGTCTCTTTGTTGACAATCCCTTTCAAAAAACACTATAATTTCTTAAAAGTCTAGTTTTTTTTATTTTAAAAAAATTAGTGGTAATTACACTATGATTTTCCCCTATTGTGTCAAAAATATGGAAATACTGAGAATCTGTTTCATGTCTGATTTGTTGTCTATTAAATTCATTTTATAATCAAAATGAAATTTAAAATACAACTCATGGCAATAAAATGGATCTCTCTAACTCATTTTATTTTTTTAGTTTTGTATTAACTTAGGAGTTTTAATTTTTGAAAGAAACATACTATTCATCCTTTTTATTTTTAATTGTTTTATTTACTCTCTGTTTTGTACTACTTGTTTGTTTGCTCTAATAATCTTAGTTTTCATGTATTTGGTGTTGTTTGTGATGTGATGAGAAAGATATTGATGTTTTATGGTGGCTATATGCCATTTGAATTTTGAAGTAATGATATGGTAGCAAAAGATCTACTTTAAGATTGTTTGGTTTTAAAGGAAAAACAGGAAAATCTAGGTGATTGTCCCTTTACTTTTTATATAATTACAAATTGTTGGTTTCGTTGTCCAAACTCCTAAGCCTTGGCAAAACTTACTTGATTCTCTCTCTCTCTTTAGTGGTGGTAGAGAGAGAGAGAGAGAGAGAGAGAGAGAGAGAGAGAGAGAGACGTAGTTGGTTTACGTACGTCTACAGTACTTAATTTAATAAACTTCGTTAGTTTAACGTCTTACGTTACCGTTAGTTTTAGGTTAAGTTTTAGGGTTAATTTTTAAATTTACTAGTAGTAACGTAGGTAATTAAGTAAAAATTTAAA